CTGCAGAGCGGTCGGGTTAGAACAGATAAAAGGAAGTACTTCTTCACCCAAAGAGTGATTAACACATGGAATTCACTGCCACAGGAAGTGGTGGGTGCTACAAGCATGGACGGCTTCAAAAGGGAATTAGATAAGCATATGGAGCAGAGGTCCATCAGTGGCTATTAGCCACAAGGTATAGCTAGGGGCTCTGGGGCAAGTGATGCTCTGTCTTCTTGGTGCTTGGGGGGGGGGGTCAACAGTGGGAGGGCTTCTAATGTCCTGGCCCCACTGGTGGACCTCCTGATGGCACTGGTATTTCTGGCCACTGTGTGACACAGAGTGTTGGACTGGATGGGCCTTTGGCCTGATTCAACATTGGCGTCTCTTATGTTCTTATGTTCTTAATAATGATGGGCACAAACTGGTTCACAAAGTAAAGTTCATCAGGCATCCAGCATGAACATTCCATGAATTTTTGACGTTGTTCATAGTCATTAACTGTGATTCATGAGTGGATACATTTTTAGATAGACTGCCACCACTCAAACTTTACAAAACTCCACAGCAACAAAAAAAAGGAATATATTGTCGAAGACTTTCACGGGCGTAGTTCATTAGTCATTGTAGATTTTCTGGGCTGTATCTATAGCCCAGAAAATCTACAACAACTAAAGAGGAGGAACTTTAAAGCAGCAGTGCGGACGGGATTCTCCAACCTAGGACTGTTTAGGGTTTTTTTTCTCTCTGTGTGTCTTGAGTTTCTGTTGGCTTCTTGGCTGCTTGTCAGTTTCAAGAAGGTTCCCCCCCCTTTGCTGACTTGCATTCCCTTCCCATTTTCTTGCACAGAGCTTGTAATACCCCCCCCGATTTTGATTCTGTGCTAGACATCAATCTTGTTAAGCTGACATTGCATCTCTTTGATTGCACTGGTACTGCTGAGCACTCTGTACATCGCAATGTTTCTGCTGAGCTTGCAAAAATCCCCCCACCACCACCTTCAGTTTTTACTGCAGAGATTCTCTAGTTTGACCTTAGTCCTGTTGGATTTCCACTGCCACTGGTTCTGCTGGGCACATTGCACTGGTTGTTCTGAGCTTGCAAAAATGTCCCCACCTTCAGTTTCTACTGCAGAGATTTTCAGGGACTTTGATTCTGTTCTGTGGGGGTTCTATTGCCCATGTGGGGGGGGTTGGCTGTCCCCCCCTCCATTGGAAACAATGGATGATAGGGGCACCTTCTTGGGGGGGGCAGAACTCATAATCTGTAAATCCAATATGCAGAGAATTTGGAGGGCATATAGAGGAGAGTTGGCTAGAGCTCCACTGTGAGTTTGGTGTCTCTAGCGTGCACAGGATCCATTCTGTATACTCCTGAACCACCTGAACCCATGCCTGTCATTTTCCCAGAAAGCACTTTCCTGGAGGCACATTCTTTGGGGGGGGGCTGTAACTCAGACTCCAGAAGTCCAATCATCACCAGACATGGAGGGCAGGTAGAGGAGAATCAGCTGGAGATCCCCTGTGAGTTCGGTGTCTCTAGCATGTGGAGGGGGGGGTCTGCCATGTCATGAACCAGTTCTGTTAATATAAATCCCCTTTGGTTCATACTTTGTGGTTAGGTTTGTGAGTCCACCACAAACCATGAAGCGAACCACATTTCCCCAGTTCATGCCCATCCCTATGCCAAAATACTGGCAAAACTGGGGGGGAAATGGCAAGAGATGGAACTGGCTTGAAAACACCTTAAAACTTTCTGTCAGGAAAAGACAATGTCATTGTCCATATAAAACAAGGTAATCCAGTATAGGTTTTGAAGTGTAAACTTTCAAAATAATGTAATGTACAAAGTTCCGCAAAGTTGTAGCTGACTTATGGTGATACCATAGGGTTTTCAAGGCAAGAGATGTTCAGAGGTGGTTTGCTGTTGCCTGCCTCTCTGTAGCCAAATTATTTTTCCAAATTGGATCCTAACAAATCCTATTAACAGACAAGTACATGAAGCTAATAACTTTCATCACTCTCTTTGGAAGATACTGTTTCAAAATATGGCCCTTTGAGAACACCTCTGCATCTGAATACTTCCAAAAGAAAATAAAGCATCTGCTTTGAGGCACCGAGGAGGTCCTTTGTCATAGGGACAATGTCATAATAAAAGGATTTACAATGTAGCAAAAGATTCAAATGAAACAGATCTTAAAGTAGCTTTGGGAGACAGGAGTCACCCCTCAACAGTTTCAAATGTGAGTTCCAGTTTCAGTGTGCACATGTCTTGGGGTGTTGTGATGTGCCCTGGCCAGGAGCTCCAAAGTTCGCAGAAATCCCAAGGGAACAATACACAAGATCCTGGTTTGCTTACAAGGAGATTAGTAATAAAGCATCAAAACTTTCAGAAAATGCAGGTTAAGCTCCCATCAGCTGGGCCTAAAGTATGCACACACACAGCAAATCTTGCCCTAATCCCAAACCACATGTCTAACTAAAACTTGGCTTCTTCTACCCTAAATCATTAATTATGCTATCCCAAACACTTGAATCCAGGTCATCTGGCACCTGGCTTCCAGGGTGCGAAGAAACTACCCAGGCTTTGAAGATAAGGGCTGCTAACAGGCATGAGAGAGAGGAAAGTTCCCTTGGGAGCAGCCATTCTCTCACAAGGCTCAGGGCAACTAAGCATCAGCATGCAACAAAGATGGAGTCAAACAGGCCATACAGTTATATTACCTAGGGAAGGGTGTTCACCCTGACCCTGTGAAAGTTGAAAAAAATTAGAAATTTCAGCTCTATCACAGAAGTCCACCAGTTTCTGAGAATGGTAAATATCCTGAGACCTTTCTTGTCTGGTCTGCTAGGTCTTACAAGCCCACTCTATGTAATCTGTTGAGATCAAATAGTGAGCTTGTCTGGACCCAAGTCAGGAACAAGCCTTTCAGATGATTAAAAAGTCTCTAACCATAGAACCTGTTCTACTGGCTTTTTGATCCTATGAGGACATCTCTTATTTCAGACTCTTCTGATTGAGTGGTTTCAGCATTACAACATCAAGAGGATGGCCAACTTTGTTAGATTGCCTTCCCCTCAATAACAGTGTCATAAAAGTGTTATGTCCATTTCAAACAAATCGGCAATTACATGGGCATGTGAATGTTTCCAAGTGTTGTACCTTTGGACTAATTTTATCATTCAAACAGGCCATAAAGCTCTGGTTTTTGTTTTTACAAGCCGATGACTGGATGACCTCACACTTTTGGCTACGGAACTTTCAAATGTGGATAGTATTGTATTTGTCTGATGTCAGTCATTCACCAAGGAAGAAGTTACCATTGTTAATGATCTTTCTAGACAGCCATTGGTAGACTGTGGAAATGTTGTACTAGAACAAGCAGCTACAAAGTTATATCCAGTCAATTGTTGCTTGCCTTCTTACATCAGAAGCAAAGTCACTGGTGGTTTAAATGGACAGAATCACTTCAGACTGCAAGTGAGGGACCATGTTTTTCAAAGCTCCCCCACATTATTTATTCCCTGTAGTGGAAAACCAATGCACTATATAAAGAGTCAGGTTAGAACTTTTTGCTGTGATGTGCTAACTTTTCATTGCAGGGAGCTTTTTGTGTGGGGGGGAGGAATTATAAATTTGCTCCAGCCCCCCATCTGAACTAGTGTTGTCCATCCTCCTACCTCACGATTCAATTATCTTGCTTCGTTTTATATGTCAGCCAGAACTAAGTGCCTTGAAAATATATGTGCCAGAGACTGAACCTCTTATGGTACCAAATAATAAACAGTATTTTAATACTATGCAAATATAATAAATGTGCAAAATGCATACATTTATATAACACACACACACAAACCATAGTGGGTTTTCAAAAAGACTTTTTCCAGGTAATGTTATTTTAAAGAACACTATTCTCCTGAGCATATACATTTTTCATATAAATATGCAAATATTCACAAAGTGAAGTTCAACTCCCAGATTTTCAAAACTGCAACAAAGAATTGACAGGCTGCCAATACACTCACAGTATTAAAGAACCCCCAAATACCAAGCACCAAAAGGGAGAAGAAATTTGTGAAGCTTAAAATGAAACCAGTTAGCTAACTTTTCAAAGATGGATTATCCGAAATTATTCAGTCACCTACTACTACCCATCACATGGCACTCACTTGTCTGTTTCTCATCATTCCACTATAACACATCTGCAAAACCAGCCACGTTAACAGTTAGCATTTTTCAATTTAACACTGCTATATGCTCAAAACAATTACTGAAAAAGCAGTCAGTGCTGCAAAATTTTATTGCTGATAGACGTTTTTTGAGGACTAAGCCATGGCCTCTCCCCAAATATGACAGACACATGTGCATGTGATGTATCCCTTTTTCTGAGGTAAGGAGCCATATCCAAAGATTAAAATGGTGAATCTGTACCTGTCTTCAATCTTTCAAAGAGACAGCAAGTATAGAGGATGTAGCAGCTGCCTACCCAAATCGCTGCAGAGAGAAGACTGTATGAATAGTAACTTCAGTGCCCTGAAAACTTAGCACATTGCATTGGTAATGGTCATTCCTGCAAAAGGTTGTTTTGAGGCAATTCCCCTCACGCCTCAGCTGCAGTAATTATTTTAGACTGACAGCTTCTCTTTGGTTGTGATTTTTTAAAATTAAGTTTATTTAAAATATTTATAATCTGACTCTTTTCCTAGGGAAAAGGGATCCAAGGCAAGTCCTGACCATGGTTCTTAGCAGTACATGCTTGGCAGATGATTTAGGGGTACTCTGCCCTCCTATGTTCTGCCCTTTATTGCATTACACAGCTTTTCCATATGATCGGTTCCATGTGTATCTCGACTGTGTTTTAGCCTGTACATCTTGTTCTTCCATAGTCACTTTAAAATCTTGGGGGGGGGGGTTAAAAAGGATGAATGGGTAACCCCAGTCTTTCAAAGATACTCAGTGGAGTGAAATTTACATTATAAAATATCTTTACATTAAAGATTGTCATTCTCTTTTTATTGTAGTGCAAACTAGAATATCAAGCCTGTGTCTCGGGAAAACAGATATCCGTGAAGTGTGAAGGACGCTGCCTTTGCCCTCCAGATAAATCCACAAGTACAGGCCGAAATGATAAGAGGGGTAAATACTATTATATTTGTCAACAATACAGTCATCAAAGAATTATAATTGTACTGGTTAAAAAGCATTGTGATTAATGGGAATGACAGCTCTTTTTTAACGTACTTTTGAAATAGAAGTTCAGTGGTACATTGTAGTCTAATGTTATTCTATGCCTTTTCTTTTTACTCTGGTAGTAATACATAGTTCCCACCTATATCTACGAAACTAAGATTTTCTGTTTGCTGTCACAAAAACAGCATCATTTATTTCTGTGACTATCTCTCCCCAGTAGAATGGTATTCTTTGGGATACAGCTCAAAGGAGCAGGCTAATACAGTGTGTGGTGTTGTATTGCCCAGCTTCCCGCTCTTGTATGGTTATAACACTTGTGACTGACCCACTCTGGTTGCTACTGTAGTCAACATGGTATGTTTGGGAGGAAGGAAAAGCAAAACATTGGTCTGGCTTGTCAAGTTCATGCAGCAGAACAGTAATTACAGTTGTGTGTGCTTGTGTGTAGTTTAATTAGTAACAGTAATTATTATTCAAAGTATTTCTGAGAGTTTTGAATGCATGAAGCGTTGAAGAAAATTTGTTATGGATGTTCTGAAAAGAAAGCCTACATTAGCATCAGTTACTTTGGAAACTACAGCTTTGCTAAGTACCATGTATCACATCTAGGATGCAGTGTCATTCTTACACATCTCTGTCATTTACTACAACTTTGCTAAGTACCATGTATCAATCTAGGATGCAGTGTCATTCTTGTACACCTGAAGGACAGTCTTACACATCTCTGTCATTTAAAGGGGAAGCAGGCACACTTTCATGTGTCTGCACTTTCTGACCATTCTTCAGGAACAGCTCCAGTTAATAATGCATTGAAATACTTGGTCTTACAGATTGCCTAGGAAAAGATGATTATTAGCAGGAGTGTACTTCCCTAGAAATGTGAAAAATAAATACTCTGAACACAGTTGCCAACTAAGAATTCAGGGACAATACTGAACGTAGGGGCCACATTAAATTAACATTAAGGACTTTTTGCATATGTCTCTCTTTAGCTTCTCTCCCGTCATGCATGGAATGTGATGAAAGTATCCTGATCTAAAACTAACTTTGGTTCATCATCAATCTTCTGTGCAATCTCATATTGGGACAGCGCATGATCAGACCTGCCATCGGAGAGGTCTTTACAGCTAAAGTCCACCAGGAGGTGCTGCACACTGGAGTCAGGAAGCTTCTTCCCACTCAGGGACCATGTGTTCCCATGCAGCAGGACCTCCACCATCAGTTCCTTCTCTGCTGGTGAAGAAGGTCATCTTTTCGAGTCTCCAATTTTCACATTGAAATGTTCCCTCTAAGCTGTGAAGTTTTGTGTGCAAAAATTCTACTTTGTGAGCTACTGGCATTAAAGTTGTGAGCAAGTGATTTGGCTACTGCATAAATTAGTTTGCTCTGGAACCATCCTTCCTGAGCTAAGACAAAAAATGTGTGAGCCGGAGGCTAAAAAACTGTGAGCTAGTTCACACTAACTCAGCTTAGAGGGAACACCGAGGAATTGTTTCCTTGGCTCTCTGGGGTTGTTCTGGTTTCTGAATTATACCATGCCTCAGAAGGCTCTTTCCAAAAATGTACCCATTGTGGAGCAAACATGATCCAAACCAACAAATACGACTTATATCTGTTTTGTTTAGGTGAAGCCACAATGTTCCCAAATGTAAGGTTCTGCCTCCCAGATCCATGTCACAAGCACAGGACCAAATATAATTTTCCATTCTGACTTCTTATTAAACTCTTGAACAAGATCCATACCTGCTTTAGTCTTTCTTGAGTTGTTACAGCTGTAGGTTTTATGCTTATTACGATGCAAAAATTATCTGTATCTTCTTACAAAATCTCTTTTCATATATTCTAAATATTCTAAATATATCATAACAATGTTCATGTTCAGGTTATATCATATTCCTTATCTCTTAGCTCATTTTTTGAAATCAAATGGATACTTTATATTAATGCTATCATTCTAGAAATAACAATATGTAAATAAAAAACAAAGAAGGAAGAATTATCCTTTTCCATTCTGTCTTCATGATAAAATCTTCATTGCAATTTATATCTATTAGGATATAATTAGCTTTCCTAATGAGTCACAGCCATCTTCTTTCATATGTCTTTAAATACTATAATTTCTTGGTATAAATATTGACATTCTTGTCCAAATTTATAACATATTTCTATTTTTTGGCTTATATCTTAACAGCACCAATTTACTTTGTATTTATATTGACATTCATCTTAGTATGATTTTATTAATTCAATTTCAGCTATAACTCATTTTAGTCAATTACACATAAAGCAAAAATTCTCTGTATCACTCTGATTATAATGATTCTTTTCCTTTTTTCTGTTACAGTCATAATTCTGTGCTTTTTCTCTTTATATATGAAAAAATTGCTTTTACATCTATCTATATTCCATTGGGAAAATTATCAGACTTTGGATAAGTCTGATAATTGGCCCTGTGAAGCTTCTTACTTCCTCTTTGGGTAGAAATATCAGCAAAGCTTCTTGTAAATTCTCGTTTGCCATATCCACAATTAAAAAGTTAATCATAGTTTTCATTGGTCTGTTGATTTGTCCTGTGTAGCTTCTAGATCCCTTTTTGGCTAGAGAGGTCATTCCGTGAGCTGAATCATCTTGACTGAAGTCCTGTTCTTTAGTTTGAGTCTGTTGTCTCTGCAGGTCTTCCCTCTTATTTACAGTTTCCGACTGGATCTGCTCCTTCCCATAGAGTCTCTCAAAGGTTTCTTTGACCGCCCATTGAATTTCATCCTTAAGTATCTTTTGGAATTGTTTCCAGGAAATTTGCAACTCTTGTATAGTCTCTGGGTCCTCTGGTTTATCTGCCTCTTTACACCCGTTTTGAAAAGCCATTTTCTTAATATGTCCAAGTTTGGGACTGTTCCGTGGAGCCAGCAATCTCTATGCTTGTGTTTACAATGAGTCTCACAACGCTGCCTAGTGTTCCAAAATAAAGAACTCAGTAGCCATATTAAAATCTGGGATTCAACATAGACCAAACAATGTGCAGTCTCTAAGCATACCCAGGAAACAATCAATCCTTTACAAATTTTTAAAAGTAAAAACACAGTCTTATATAAAGGACTCACAAAATCAGTGTAAGTTATAATCCCTTTTACAGGAGACGCTCTTTGTCAAAAATGTTAAACCAAGTCTTTTCCAATTTGCAATTGATAAAACAAGAGGGGTTCTACCTGTTCAAACAGTTCACTCAGAAGTTTATCAAATTAACTTCTATCATAGAAAAATTGTTAGAGATATTTAAATGTTCAGAGACCATAGTCCACTCTGTCCCCAACGGTATTTGATTGATCTTTATGTCCCAGTCTCTTTGCGGCTGCCCACAAAAGGGGGGGGGGAATCCCCGCTCTTAGTTTCCTTAGCTTTTGGGGAGATTGAAGGGGCTTAATCGGGAGGTCATTAAAGGTTTGTTTGTTGCATTTACAGGTACTCACGGTATAGATCTTATCTTCATTAATGTTATGATGAGGCTCAGTATTTGTGCTCACAGCTTGTGCAAAACATGGCTACCACGTTTGCTCATCTCTGTACTTCTGCTTTGGGATGATTTCAGGCTGCCAGCTGCTTGCTGTCACTTGCAGGGAGCCTGAAACAAGTCCCCTGCTCTTGGACCTCCCTCCGAGGTCCAGAGGGATTCGGGAACCCCAAAAATCCCCTTAAAAAGCATGGAGAGTTGGCAATTCTCGGCAGCACCCCAAGAATCAACTGTGCCACTGTACCACTTCCGGGTTCTCCGTTTTTCTCCATGTTTCTAAGTTCTGCATGGTTTCCATTTCATCAGTTTTACAATTATTAAAGTTTAAATGTTGGTTTATTGTCATTGATTTGAAGGATGCTTACTTTCATGTTTCTATCCATCCCCAAAACTGCAAATTTCTATGTTTTTCTTGTGGGATGTGGGTATTTTTGGTCTGGCCTCAGTGGTTGCCTATTTTTGTTTGCAAGATTGCCATATATTCCCCTACTTAGACAACTGGCTCTTGGAGGCAGACTCCAGAGACCAGTTACTGAGACCAGTTACTGCTCCCACCGTGGCGTAGGTGCTTGCTAAGAAGGGAGTTTTAGAAATTCAGCCCCTAAGTGGGTAAAAAGGGGGGAAATGTGTTTTCCCCATTGATTCCTATGCAGCTGCCAGGCAGCTCTCTCCCAGCACCCCCCCCCCACTCTCTGATTGGTCAGCTGCAGTGCTCAGAGTTCTGAGGTCGGTGTCTGTCAGGTTTAGGAGCAGGACCAGGGTATGAATGTTTATGGGGAGATAGTAAAGGACATTTCTGGGAGCCATTTCAATGTGTGCCTCCCTCATGAACCTGAAGAAATGTCCATCACATCACCACTCCCTCACACCAACTCCCACTCACACCTCTCATCTCTTACTGCTCTCAAGAAAGCTCCTGGCAAATGTAGAGCCAGAAACACCAACGCTACAAGGAATGCAGCAAAGACATTTGCACATAGTACTCCTGCAGTGCACTGAACTGCACAGGCCAAGTACCAGCGAGATCACCCTGAGGTGCTCAGAATAACACAGTCTCCATATGAGCAAAACAATCCAGGAACACAAGTAGAGAGGCCATCACTTTCATGAAAGGTGGCAGGAGTTTACTTAACAGACGATTGCTTCTTAAATGGACAGTTCTATGTGGGCAATTCAAAGTCTTAAAAGATGATGCTGTTAAAGTGCTGCACTCAATTTGCCAGCAAATTTGGAAAACGCAACAGTGGCCACAGGATTGGAAAAGGTCAGTATACATTCCAATCCCAAAGAAGGGCAATGCCAAGGAATGTTCAAACTATCGAACAATTGCACTCATATCACACGCTAGCAAGGTCATGCTCAAGATCCTACAAGCTAGGCTTCAACAGTACGTGGATAGACAACTGCCAGAAGTACAAGCTGAGTTTCAAAGAGGTAG